TAGGACTAAACTATCATAGGACTAAACTATCTAAGGACTAAACTATCATAGGACTAAACAATCATAGGACTAAACTATCATAGGACTAAACTATCATAGGACTAAACTATCATAGGACTAAACTATCATAGGACTAAACTATCGTAGGACTAAACTATCATAGGACTAAACTATCATAGGACTAAACTATCATAGGACTGAACTAACATAGGACTAAACTATCGTAGGACTAAACTATCATAGGACTAAACTATCATAGGACTAAACTATCATAGGACTAAATCAATGCTGGTCATAATCATAACTTTGTGGCCTTTCACCCCTTTTACCTTCTGGCACCATCACAACATCGTAGACTTTTAACGAATTTGACCTTTGACCGTGACTTTGAACATGGGTACCAAATAATAAGATCATTTATCTTTTCAGCTTTTAAAGCACACCATACCAGTAATGGAAGTCCTGATGTGGAAACACCAGCCTTGCATTCGATGCTTGAATGTTTTAAAAAATTGACCCCCTATTGACTTCATCTTAAGTCAAGGTAATCTTATCAAACAAACTTTGTTGTAATCCAAACCAGCATGCCACTGGCCATATGTCAGGACACTACACCTTTGATTTCTTCAGAAGTCATTTAACTGTTTAGACAAATTATAGGTAAAGGTGAATTTATTTTCACAAACTGTGTAGCATACCTGATAGTAACAAGCTACTGCACAATGTTGTAAGTTTGTGGGGTCAATACTTTGCACTCGATAAACACCTGAAAAGTGCCTGTACCTCATTTTTTGTGAATATCCTTTTAATCTGGTTGTAATTTGTCTAGTGTTTCTCGAAAAAGAAGATACTCAAAGAAAGAGTTTACAGAGAGAACTTGGACAGCAACAGATTGCAATTATAGCTTACCTGGCATTTCAGGGCAATGTGAGCAAAATCCTGATCAAATAGGGAACAAGTCTATATGTATATTTGACGAGATTTAATGAAATTTTCAAAAACACATCCAGAAACCATCAGCCAATCAGGCCGCAGCAGCATCATCATTATAGGCACAAATTGGACAAGCATTGAACTTGAGAGTGAGACTTGGGTAGTTAGTAATGTAAGTTTAATCAAAATATGGTAATTCCTTAAAAGATATCATCTGGAAACAAATTGGTATACTGCTAATATACGACAATGGGAAAAACAATTTTGACATGTTGATTTTGAAGGCAATGCAAATATAAAACAATTACCAGCAAAGACCGCAGTCCACGAGCTCCAACCTTCTTTTGAAAGGCAGACTCTGCTACTGTGTGAAGTGCTTCTGGTGTGAACACAAGCTGACACTGTAAAAAACATGAAGAATCACTTTGAAACTCATAAGACAGAGTAAATACAATAAAATATTTTATGGAATTTTTATATCCAAAATAATTGTTTTTCAAATGTGTGCTGTAGTGTATAATTATCATGGTAATACATGTACCCCTAAACCCGTTTGGCATGGGTTGCATAATAAGAAAGTATGGGTGATGGGAGCCATATAGATATTTAACAAAATAAGAAATACGCCCCTTCTCCTAATTTTATAGATATTTGGAATACCAAATAGCCCTAGCATCAAGAACTTTATCTAATGTAAAGAAGGCGACAGGAGTAGATGGCATCTCATCTAAATTCCTTAAGGCTTGTTGTTCCAATATTAGCTTGCCTCTATGTACTCTAGTTAACCACAGGATTGCTACATCTTCTTTACCAGATAGATTAAAGCAAGCACAGGTTGTGCCGATCTATAAAAAGAAAGATAACACTGACAAGCAGAATTATAGGCCTGTCAGCATCCTTCCTTAATTGCAGCAACTCTTTGAAAAGGCTATTAGTCGACAACTTTCTGAATTTTTTGAAAATATATTCCATCCTTTTCTAGGTGCTTTCAGACCAGGTTTTGGTTGCCAAACGACCCTGCTGCTCAGGAAGCTGGAAGCATATGGGTTAGACAGTCGAGCAGTGAGCCTGATGTCCAGCTACCTGATCAACAGGAGTCAGCAGGTGAAACTGGCTTTAAATTGCAGCACCTGGTCAAGTATTCTTAAAGGGGTTCCCCAGGGCTCTATCCTGGCCCCCTTCTTTTCAACATATTTATAAATGATATTTTTGATTGGGTTGAAGATTCATCTCTCTACAACTATGCAGATGACAATACTATAGGTTACAACCATAAGGATCCTACTGTCTTAAAATCCATTTTAGAAAAAGATTGTACTCATGTTATTGATTGGTTTAGTGAAAATGATTTTAAAGCCAATCCTGAGAAGTTTCAGGCATTCAGCATTGGAAAACGAATGTTTGATTAAATCAAATCTTTTGATGATGGAGGTGTATCTCTTAATTGTGAAAAATTGTCAGATTACTAGGTGTCAATTTTGTTTATTTATTGAACTTTGACTATCACATTTCAGAGCTCTGTAAAAAAGCCTCCAGACAATTATCTGTTCTGAAAAGGATACAATGTAGGTAATTTTTAGCTCACCTGCCCAAAGGTTTTTAGCTCACCTGCCCGAAGGGCAAGTGAGCTTATGCCGTACCGCGGCGTCTGTCGTCCGTCGTCAACTTTTCCCCTGAAAAGCCTTTATCTCCTGAACGACTGATTGGATTTTAACTAAATTTGATATGAAGCATCCATGGGACCAGGGGCTCAATGGATTTAGGAAATAAGGGTGTGGTCCCCTAGGGGGTTTAGTTAGGGCCAAGAAAGGGGAAAATTCAGAAAAAAATAAAATATCTTCTTCTCCATTTCCAGAAATGCTTAAACCAAATACTACTCATAGTTGTAAAGGCCTTTGGGTGGTTTATAAAAATTGTGATTTTCATGTCTCCTAGCCCCCCCCCCCCCCCCCCCCC